GCTACGCAGCAGGCAGTTCCAAGAGCAGCATCTCGTTTGGTCTGTATGACATGATCCTGAGATGAGCACTCCCTAATCCCCACCTTGCAGACGGGTGACTTGCCCCATGTGGCGTGGCTGGGGAGTGGCAGGCTGGGATTCGAGGTCTGGATCCCAGGCTCTTAGTCATCCTGTTATACTATCTATCCAGATGCTGTTAAACCAATGGTTGAATCATCCTGGCATTGAGAATGATCTGCTGCAGCTAAAAAGATGTCAAGAGAGAGGTCGGGTGACTGATCGGGGAAAGAAAGGGCTAGGCACCAGCTGGATAATTGCGGAAGCTTTGAAAAGCCTGGGGGAGCAAGCGCACTGCCCAGGTGTGTCTGCGTTTCCTTAGGCAGAGCTGAAATCACCCCGGGCACAGAAATGTCATCTTCCTGGTGTGCAAGTTGTGTCGGACATGGAGGTTGGTTGGTAAAAACACCTGTCGTAGATGCTTCGCAGGGATCAAGTGAGTTCTTCCTGCTCTCCAGGCCACCCTTTTGTCAACCTCAAGTTTGGGAAACTGGGGAAATGGGATTAGCCATGAGCAGGTTGCCTGGGTGCTCTGAATTGATGCCAAGGGAATTGGATGCGCTTTTCCGGGTTCCCCAAACGGTGCTATCTCCCAGGACCTAAGCACGTGCCTGAACCAGGCACAGAGTCCCATTTCCATGGTGGGTGGGACTCCCAGGAGCCCATTTTCACTTCCCACACCATCGGCTCTCTCTGTGAACTGGTCAGGAGGAGGCTGTGGGTGCCCTTGGCTGACCTTGGATCTTGCCCCGTGCCGCCCAGCCATGCTCTCGGATTCCTCACCTCTGTCCCTCGCATCTCTGCACCACTCCAGCCCTCCATTTATCTCAGAGTCCTGAAGACAGAGTAGGATTCGCACGTGGGCATCTCTTTCGTGCTAGAGGGACAGGTCAGGAGGACACTGTGGTGTTCCTAGAATAACAAGAGCAATGCCATGGGTACAGCATCTCAGAGTCGACGGCTCTCACGTATTTCTCATGGGGCTGATTGTACTCCTACAACAACAGAGTAGCAAGCGTAAACCCTTCATCCTGCTCATTTGGGCTTAGGACCCGATCAACGTGCACCCATCTGTGTCCTGCTTTATAGCTTGTTGTGTGTCATGTCACCGAAACCTCACCGCCACCTGGGCAGGCTGGTCCCGTGCTGGCCACACACCCTCAGGCTAGCAACAAGCCCTCCAACACCCAGGAAGGTCAGTCCCATAATCAGCAGTGGCTTCTCTGGGGAATCAGCCGGGAATACCTCTGCCTTTGACTCTGGTCCAGAACTTGTTGACCCTCACCTGGCACGTTTCTGATAAGCTGAGCTAGTCCTCGGTAGTTCGCTGTTAATCATTTATCTCTCGGCCCGTGGAGAGAGGCTTCACGGAATGTTTACAGTAACAGCTGGTGCCATTTAATCGTTAATGTTGCTTTCTTTGACAATTTCCCAGGCTTATATTGGATTATATGGGGAGCTGAGTTATCTAGGAAGCATATGCTCTTTGCTCTTTAAACTGTAACAGGCAAGGGAAGCTCCAGGAGCCAGGTGAGTTATGCTCACAGACTTGGATTAGCTTTAGGGATGATTTCAAGAGCCTGTGAGACTCTCACCAAGCAGCTGGAATAAGGGAATTGAAAAGTGAGGGATTTGAAAATCAATTTGGTGAAGATTAAGAGAGAAAATGTACACGAAGTGCTTAGCATGGTGTTTGATAAATGTTAACCTAAAAATGAAACGGTTATGAGTGATCACGGCTAAGGCAATCATTCGGATGGCTACCAATCCAGCAATCTTCCGCCTGCCCCCATCCTCCCTCCCTCTCCTTCTGTTTCTTTTTTTCTTTCTCTCCTTCTCTCTCTCTCTCTCTCTCAGCTCTGCTCTATTTTCCACATTCCTTTTCAATGTGTTGTTTTAGAGTTAGCTTTAGCTCCATGCCGAAGTCAGCAGAGGCTTCACCCTGAAAATTAAGAATAAAGTCACAGCCAAGTATTACTCAATCAAAAACGTGGGGGGAGCTGGAAGTGTGTGGCGTTTCCCGTGGAGAGCTGTCAGCCAGGGGCTGGACCGCACGCAAGGCAGCACCTGCAGGCATTTCGAGGGAGGTGGCCTCCCGCTTGCATGAGCCAGCTTTGGGAGAGCAGGTCCACCTGTGCTGTATGCTGACGTTCTGTGGTGTACTGATGTCAGCCCTGCGTTTTCTTGGCCTCCGTCCGTCCATCCTTCCACCCAACACAGGCTTTTGAGCAGCGATGTGACCTGAAGCTGTCTAGGTCCAGATCCACCCTCTGTGACAGGTTGGGCGGGTAAAGATACTCCTCCAAGGCTTGCTTACTTTATTTCCAGCATGGTTGGCCATCGCCTATCGACACATGGTACCCGTGAAAGTTTTATTATCAGTAGCAGAGGCGGTTTTCTAAATATTTAACCCCAGGTACAGCCGAGGCGGCGTGGAGGGGCGGCAATCAGATGCTAGGAGCAGAGTCTTGTGCATCACTATGTAGGCGTTAACCCTGTAGCTGCTGGGCTGAGGCAGGGGGGCACCCTGGGGGCTGGGGACCGGGCTGCTCATCAATGGGTAGAGCGCACTTGGAACTTTTAAGAAGTGGCATGGCCACACTAGTGGACACCAGCAGAGTGTGAGATTGCATCAGCAGCAATTTCTGTATTATTACTGCAGATTGAAAAGACAGGGTTTTAGAACCTCATGCCCAGAGCTTCTATTTATACTATGTTCTATTTATTCATTGTTCTATTTAAACCTTTGAGAATTATTTTGAGGCAGTTGAGGGTTCTCTACTCATACGCCAAATGGCTCCCCCTCCTTTTTCCGCGTAACCAGTTCTCAGACACCGTCTTAGAATGGTATCCCACGAGGACCCTGACAAATGAATGCCTTATCTGTGCTCCACAGAGACCATTTGCTGGGAGTCCGGTGATGATGGTGAACATTTAGCATTTATTATGTGCTTCATATACACGGACTCATTTGATCTTCACAAAAGCCCTGTGAGATATGTCCTGTTATTCTTCCTCACTCAACATATAAAGAAACAGAGGTACAGAGAGGTTAAGCAACTTGCCCCAAGTCACACAACTAGTAAGCTCTAGGGCTGGGGTTTGAACTCATGGCCCCATGCCACCTGGGGTGCACGCTGTCTGCACCTGGCCCTGTGTCGTGCCTGTGGGCAGCTTCTCACCGGGGACATGATGTCTCGGGGCCGATGAAGTCATTGTCAGCTCCGTGGTGGTCTCTGTAGGGTGAGACACAGAGTCTCACCTTCCAGGCTCACCTCCTCTGCGTGGCTGTTTGTTGCATCTGGAAAAACTGAATCACTTCCTTCTGTGCACGGGGAGGAGGAAAAGCATTCTAGGCTAAGGGGCAGCCAAAGGAACACAAGGATGAGAATGGCCTGAAGAGGGAGGTCCAGTGGGCTGGAGTATCCCGGGGTGTGTGCTGGGCTGAGACAGGCAGGGTCCCTCAGGGGAGGGCCTCAGATGTCCCCCTCGAGGGCTGCCCACAGAAGCTCACCAACCAACACTCCTGTCAGGCCAGCTCAAATGACTTCTGGATTGCAGAACCCGTCATCCTATCAGAACTAAATATTGTTCCAGAATTGTATTTTTTATGCCTGCTTGGCTACTTGACACCTTAAGGACTGATTTAAAAGTTTTTTTAAATTTAAAGCGATTTTTTAAAACTTGCTTTTCTAGTTATAGAAGTGAGGTGTGTGTGTGTGTGTGTCTGTGTCTGTGTCAAAAATTGGAAAAGCAGAGGAAAACCAACCAGACAGAAATGGACTAAAATACCACGGCCAAGTAGAAACTGTTCTGTTTTGCCACTTCCAGGGAGTCTATTTTCGCCGCACATAAATATGTGATGTGTCCTTTGCTCATCCCGGCAGCCCAGGCTCCTTCTGTCCTCCTGCCTTCCCCGTGCCCCGGGAGCACTCTGTACGCTCTTCTCAAACGGGCTCTTCTAGAATGGAAGCTCCATGAGGGCAGGGCAAGGTCTGTCTTGCTCTTACCTAGGTATTACGGGCTTAACGAATAATTGTGGAATAAATAACTTAATGTACCAACATCTAAAAAAAAAAATCTTTATTTTATATGAGAAAAACACACGGGCATAGTTTAAGTCCTCATATGATAGCATGGATTTATTAGCAAGTACCTCTGTTTTTAATGCTAATGGATATTCTTTTTTAGATCTTTCTCTGTTTGTCAAGTAAGATTATGAGCATTTTCCCATGACGTTAAATATTCTTTAACATAGTTTTTAAATGCTACATGAGTTTCCATATATGGATGTAGCACAACTTATTTAAACTTTCCTGTTAGATTTTTTTTCTATTGTGAATACCCATTTGTTAACCATCTCAGGCTGAAATCTTCGTGCACATTCTTTATTACTGCTCTCTGATAACTTTTCATAGATGGAGTAGTTGGGCCAAAGGGCCTACATATTTTTATGGCTCTGGAAACTTATTTCCAAACTCCAGAGAAGCTGCACATTTTTCTACTTCTGTCCTGCCAGTGATTTCGGTTACCATTTTGGTGACTTGTTCCGATTTGACAGGGAAGATTAGCACTTGGTTTTAATTTACACTGCTTTTCTTTTCACATCTTGGGGGCAGAAATTTTGGTGTTTCCAAGATCTTCCCTGCCATAAGAATGACCATCTGAATGAGAATGTTTTGGGGAGGGGGCCTGTATTTAATAAGCAACACAGCAAGTGTGGGAAACGCAGAAGTCATCCAGCCCCACCGTCCCGCATCCTGCAGATGGAGACATGAGGCCAGAGAGGAGCATGGAGATGCATGGGTCCCCACGGGGGCTGGGCACCGCGGTCCTCATGTCCTCACCAGGCAACCCCCCCCCCATTTTGGGGCCACCTTCCCTAATTACCCATCGGGACAGCAAGTATCTAATGACTTCTTCCTTTTTTTTCTCTTTTTCAGGAACAAGGAAACCCAGTCCAAAATTTGAAAAATAAACCATGAAGTGCAGTGAAAAGGACTCAGCAGATTCCAAAGAAAGTGATTTGGCGAGAAAGAAATTGGTCAGTCCTGGTTTCCTTATCTCTCCCTGTTCTGGTGGCGCTGGGGCACTCCCTCCCGGCCCCCTCGCTGCTCCCCAGGAGATGTAGATGGAGGCGAGGTCAGGTGGAGAAGAGAGAGCAGAGGATAGAAGCAACGGTGTGCGGCAAGTTGCCGGGTGAACGGGAAAGCATGTGCTACGAGGCATAGGCCACTGATCGTATTGTACTCTGGTTGATGATGACTCTTTCATCTGCTGGTGGTCTTTAGGACCTGGCGGGGGGGGGTCTCCACTCCAAAGGTCATTTTGCAATGAGGGGACACACTGCTGTGTGAGAGTGAGGATGTCGCTGTCCTTGAGGATACGCTGAAACCCATCCCCTACCCCACCACAAGGCCCAGTCCACCTGCGCCAGAGAGGCCCTGACTCCTCAGGGATCCTTGCACCTTCTTTTAAACCAGACTCAAAAACCAAAGCCAGACAGCACCTGCTCTGTGTGGGGCCTTTACCCGGGTCTCTCCTTCGGTTCTCTTGGCCATACCACAGTGAAGACATCACCACCCTCATTTTGCAGGCGAGGAACTGCGGCTCAGACAGGGATGAAGCCACTTGTCCAAGGCTACGTAGCTAGTTTCGGGGGGAGTGGTCTCGAACCCTGGTCCCTTTGTGCCTCATCTCCTGTGATGGCAGCAGAAGCAACCAGGACTCAGAAGAAAATCTGTCCATATTTTTAATAAACGTTATTTAGCCGGACAAAGATCAACACAAGTGTATTTATCAAACCTCCAGGGAATTGTGGAACTGGCAGGCTATGAGTGATTGTCCCCACCCAGAGGTGTGAAACAGAGGTTTAAGGAGGGTCCAGCCACCTCCTCGGGTCATCCAGGGATGTGGCAGAGTCACGTTAAATAAACAGTCATTCCCTCCAAGGACACACTCCTATGAGGTAGAGTCAAGGCTCTGCTGTCTAGGCATTTGGTGTCACGAAGGAAGTGATATTGTCATCTCAATCATTCTGCTTAAATGATATTCAATAAACCCCCCCCCCTTTTTTTTCCTTTCCTGGTAGAAAATTTTCATCTTGTCCAAGCTGACTTTCTAGCTTCAGGACACCATCAGTTTGAGTTCCAGAAGTATCGACCTGGCCCCTTCCCTGAGTGAGGTGGGAAGAAAACTCTGGGAATCCAAAGAGGCTCAGGACGCTGGATTAGCCTGCTCAGGCCACCGTGACAAAGCATCACAAGCTGGGGGGCTTAAACAACAGAGATCTACTTTCTCACGGTCCTGGAGGCTGGAGTCTGAGATCAAGGATGTCAGCAGGGTTGGTTCCTTCCGAGGCTTCTGTCCTTGGCGTGTAGACGGCTGTCCTCTCCCCACGTCCTCACATGGACTTTCTTTTATATGTGTCTGTGTCCCATGCTCTTCTTATAAAGACACTGGTCATATCGGATTGGGGTCTACCCTAGTGATCTCATTTTACCCCACTCTCTTCTTTAAAGACCCTGTACCCCAATACAGTCACCTTCTGAGGTGCTGGGGGTTAACACTTCCCCAGATGAATCTGGGGAGGGGGAAACAGTTCACGGCATAACAGACACACGCAGCCCCGGCCCTTGGTGAGCTCCCGTCCAGAGGGAAAGGCACACATGGGGAGAGACACTTGTAAGTAAGGATGATCACAGTCAGGGCAGTTGTGAGTGGCCTACAGAGCACAGAGGGGCAGAGAGAGGCCCGGCGGAGCTTTGGGGGGAGCTGGTGAGAGGGCGGAGTGCCGACCGATGAGCAGGTGTGGGTAGCCAGAGGGCAAGCCTGAGCACGGGCCAGGAGAACCTGGCAGGGGTAGGTACTCGATAAATAATGGTGGGTGGGTGTGTGCATACAGGAGTCAGTGTCAGAAGAGGGTGATTGTGGCTCAGCCTCAGCACATCTGGGAACATTTGTCTAACGGCCACATCCTTGATAGAGTTAACTTTCTCAGGGTCTGCCGGAGAGCGCGGCGCCACAGGCCAAGCAAACTCCACTTCTTCCCTGTCACGTTGGCCTAGCAGTTCCTCGGACGCCTGCCGGAGGACTGGTGATATCATGGGCGTGAACACATTTGGCCAAGGGCAAAGCAGTGTAGATGTGACCCAGGAGACGCAGGAGGAGGGTGCGTGGGTGATGAGTAGTCCCAGTTACCTGCTGTCTGGTCCAGGGAAGTGCAACGCATCATGTTCATCACCGAGAGACCAAACTTGAGCACTGGCACAGGCCTTAGCAATTGTCCCGTGACATTAACCTGGCTCCAGACCTCCCCTTTTACTGCGGAGGACACTAATTCCCTAGAGGGGCCCAGATCTTTCTACGCAGAGTACACAGGATGGTACTTATTTAGAAAAGGGTGAGAGCATTTGGGTCCAGATATAGCACATTATCTGGGGACAAGGTGATTTAAAACATACTAGTGAGTATTTATTGTATGCTTGCTGTATGCTGGCTGATGTTTTAGCTTCCACGGTTCGGCGTGCTTTTCGAGTATAAACTCACAGAATCTTCCACATGTCTATGAGGCGGTGGCCCCATCATGCCCATGTTACAGACGAGGACCCTGTGCCACAGAGAGGCCGAGGGACTTGCACCAGGGCTCACAGGTCCTAACTGGCTGAGCGGAGGCTCAAACCCAGACAGTGCGCCACCCGTGCCTGGGTTTTAAGCCGTGGCAACGGGAAGGGACAGCTCGTGTCACCTCCACCAAGGTTTCCCAGAAAGTAGAGCTGTCCATTTTGTCACCCTGAAAAGCTCAAATTCAAAGGAAGGCAGTGCAGTTAACGTGAAGGCCACTCTCCAAATAGCTGGAGCACTGGCCTGGAACTTGAGCGGGGTCTACTCTCAGGTGAGCGACTTCGGGCAAGGCACTGCTCCCCTCTGGGTTCCTTCGCTGTTGGCAGGCCCCGGGGGGGGGGGGGGGGGGGGGGAGTTATGGGCAGCCACCTCCACCAATAAGAGGAACTCTTCAGGCCAAGCACCGCCTCCAGGCTGCGGGACCAAAAGGAAAAGTGAAGTCTGCGCATGTCCAGTCTTAGGGTCTGGGGCAGCACCTGGTACAGGGTCGGACCCGGGCCAGGCAGGCGGCTGGCGGCTGGTCTTCCGCCATCCCTGGAGTCTGCATCCCCTCCGGCTTCTGGCCTTGGAGCTCAGATTCAGCAGGTTGTTGGATCAGGGAGGCTGAGGCAGGAGAGGTGTGCAGGGACAGCTCTGACAGGGGCTCAAGGCCACACTTGGAGCCCGCTGCTGGCTTGTGGACGTGCTGTGCTCGGCGGGCAGGGCCTTTAATGCTTGCTGACTTGGGAAGCCTTCACAGCGCGGGGGTGTCCCCGCCCCCACTCCCCACTTCACACCCAAATGTAGTTGCATATTTGTCCTGGGTCCTGGGACCTACTGAGTTTTCAACTCCAATGGGAAAGCACGGAACGATTTTAAATGGCGGGTGGGGGGGGGTAGATCACCTGCCTCAGTCTGAGTTCTAGCGAAATCAGGTGAGACCCCCTGTTAGCGATGAGGAGCCAGGGAGAATACACAGAAGGGCCTGAGCTAAGGAGGGGGAGAGGAGGATGAACATAAAGTCCCCATCAGGACGGTACAGTGTGTGTCCCCAAGACCCTGGGAGGCAGTTGTCCAGTCCCCTCCCACGCCCCTTCCCATACCTCAGGCCCCAGCCATGCTCAATTATTCTGCTTTCCCACATACCCCAGAGCATCTATGCCCGTGGGTTTGGGCTCATGATCTCCCACCCCACGCCCCTTCTCTGCCTGCATATCCCCCCCCCCGTCCCCCCTACCCCAGGCTTACTCAGGAATCACCTCTTCCAGAGAGTCTTCCATGATCCAGCCCCAGGTTCATTGTCTGTGATCCACTGAACCTAGTTTGCTTGCTTCTTGTCTCTTTTGGTGGACTTGATACCTCCCTAGCCTTCTCTGGGTTCTGCATTCCCCAAACATACCTTCGCCCCCTGGCCTCGGTACCTGCCTTCTGTGTCTGGGAGCAAATGGCTGAGGCAGGCTGCCCTAAACCTGTCATGATTAAAGGTACTTCTCTGACATCTGGGGCCAACTGGCCACGTGGTGAATCAACTCTCATGACATTAAGTATGCATGGAGGGGTCTTGCCCCCTTCATGCGTTCCCTGAGCCAGCCCGGGGTTGGGCAAGGAAGAGATCTTCCCTGAGCCAACACCGAGTGAGCAGGACAGAGTAATGACCAAAAGAGGGGCAGATCCTTTTTCTTCCAAATGCAGAGCCTCCTCATTTGTTGGAGAGCTGCAGGGCAGTCATGCCCACGTCCAACATGCTGCTCGAAGCTATGTGTTGTCTAGTTGAGCCTCAGAATAACTAACGGATGGACAGTCCAGGAGGGATCCGTTTTGCCCTCATAAATACCGTAGCTCAGAGAAGCAAAGTGGCTTGGCTAAGGACACAGTTAGAGAGGCAGGGTTGGGACGCCAGCAGGCTTCCCCTGCCACCAGTGACGTTCCTTCTGTCCCGATCCTTTGGGAGGCACCCTGGCTTCATGCCCGGTGCTCCCTCGCTGCACGCGGTTGGGAGGGAAAATCAAAGGTGCCAAAGGAAAAATCCCTGCCCTGGGTGGTGATTCCTGAGAAGGCAAGTTGCCCTTCCAGGACTGCTGGGTTGCTGCTATGACTGGGAACGGGGGTGGGGTGGGGGGGAAGCCCACGGTGCCCGTTTCCTGTTCAGACAAGACAGAACTGCCGCATTTCCTGCCGGGCCCCCGCCCCCTCGTGGACTCTGCCTCCTGCTCAGAGATGCCCTGGCACAGCCCGGGGCCGGAGGAGCATGGACTCCCGGGCCTGGGCTCGCGCAGGAGCTGCCGAGCGTGGCCGCTCCCGGAGAGGGACACCAGGCAGGAGGACCAGAAAGGTAAACACAGAAACCGGCCTCTGGACCCTGCCACGGGGCTCAGAGGCCCAGCGTGGGTGGCTGTGCCTAACTCCCTCTGCGGCCTGGAAGGCCTGGGGCCCTGGGTCAGAGAAGCCTGCCTTGAGTGCAGGCATCCTGGTCCCCATGACCTTGGCCATGCAGCTCCCGCTCTGGAGCTGCAGTTTCCTCTGGCAACGTGGCTGTGCTCAGGAAATGAGGCCTCGCACCTGCTGGGTAGCGTCCCCTCTTCCTTCCCTGCCCCCACAGCTGGTACCCTCTGTCCCTGGGGCAGGTGATGAGAGGGGGTGGGCATCGGCTGGCCAAGTGGGGGCCCGGGCTCCAGGGAGAGACTCCCACCTGCCCTTCTCTATCCTCTGATGGGTGCAGACAAGGGGACAGTGACCAGGGCTGGAAGCAAGGGGGCCCAGGGACAGAAGGCCGCCTGGGACAGCCCAGGGCATCGGGAGGAGTGACATCTGAGCCAAGACCCAGCGGACAAGGGACTATGGAGAACGGGCATTTTGTCCAAAGTGCATTTCTGTTCCATTGATGAATCCCATGCAGTTCAGACCCCTCTTACTGCAGGAAAAGATTCTGGCCCCACATCTGGCCATGTCCATCCCGGTGGCTTATAAACCCCCTTTCTCACCTCCCTCTGATCACTAGCATTTCCTGACTACCTTCTCTGCAGCAGGCTTGGTTCCTGGAAGCAAGAGCCCCCACCCTCAAAAAGTGAGACCCTTGCCCACTGTCCGGCCTCTGTTGCTAACTCTCGCGGGCACAGTGTTAACTCAGCATAACAGCCCGTTAGGTGGGGTCTGTTATCATCCGCATTTTCTGATAAGAACACTGAGTCACAGAGCAACTATGTAACTCGTCCAAGGTTACAGTCCTAAGTGGCAGAGGCCGGGGTAGGACAGAGCTGAATCATAGACAAATGTCAACATGAGGAGATGGAGCTTTCAGAGGAAAGGACACTGGTCATGGGTCTTGGATACACAAGTCTCTAGAAGGGAGAATTCCGGGTGTACGTAGCTGCATGGGCCAAGCCAAGGGAGACCCTGGCACCTGACCTGGGCAACAGCCATTCTGTATGGCTGGGCCAGAGGGAAAGCAGAAAAGAGTAAATAGGCTTTCTGGACCCTTCCTGTGTGCATGCAACATTCTAAACATCCTCACCCAGCAACACGGTGAGTGTTCAACAACCTGGACAGCTGTGCGGTTCTTAGATCCATTTTCCAGCTGGGCAAGCTGAGACCCAGAAAGGTCAAGAAACTGGCTCCAGTGCCCACAGCTGAGTAGTCGGAACGTCCAGCACTGCATCCCGTGCTAGAGGAGACTACTGAGGTGGGCAGAGCAGGGAATTGGCTATTGGGGTCCTGCTTTCCCTTCCAAATAGTGTTTGACTGGCTCAGTTCCCGGAACTGTGGACCTTGTCTGTTTTGTTTGCCGCCGTACCCCTGGAGCTTTATGAGGGCCTGGCCTGCAAAGTGCACACACGTTACAGGCTAGCAGAAAGCGGCTTCCGAGAGCACCTGGGTCGCCTCCATCTGGAGACTGGCCCATATTCCCCCGGCCAGCTTAGGATGGCAACCCATCCTGTCTCCAGCTCCTGCGGGCTGGTCAGCTTTTGCCAAGGGGCCCAGATGCTTCCGCTCCAGGGCCCTGTCCTGATTGTGACCATCCTTGGATGAGGCGGAAGGACAGGATTCGTGGAGGCAGACGCCTCGTTCTCCAGGCTGAGCCCTGTATGTCTCTGTAGGCCTTTGGCCTGAGGGGCTCACAGTGGCCTGCGGTTGGACAGCTGCGTCTGGAACGGCAGGTGCGGCGCTGCGCGCGCGCGCATGTGAGCGCGTGTGCAGCGGGGCAGCCTCGGGCCCCGAGACCCGTTCCCAGACGGAGAGGCAGTGTGGTGCAGCGCCAGACTGCATGGGCCCCAGCCCCCACCCCGGACAGCAGCACGGACACCTCTGTGCCCGTTTCCTCACCTAATCACATCAGGATCAAATAGTACTGATCTAAGGATTCCCGGATAGAATATCCAGAAAGGGCTCTGAGCAATGTCTGGCCCAGACCTCTTGTAAGCCCCAGATGCTGGCGGCTGTGTCTGGCTTTGCTTTTTGCTCCGGTGTGGTTCAGAAAGTGGCCAAATTCAACTGAAATAGTACTATGTGGCTGATTGCTAAGCACCTGCTAAGGACGTTAGGTCTGCCAGTCACTGATTTGTTGCAGCAGTCAGAAGCAAACTGAGCTCCGGGGGCTGACCCAACTCGCCCAGGGCGCCTGCCTGCACAGGTGGACCTGGACGGGCAACTCAGCTGCCGGCCGGCTCCAGAAACTTCTATCCTCGTCCTGGGAAATCTCAGGGACGGCCTCCCCAGACGAGGGGACAGCCCAGGTACGCCCTGTGGGCCCCTGGCTCTGTGCCCGACGGCCAGATCTGACGTGCTGTCCTCTCCTTTCCCAGGACTGGTCCTGCTCGCTCATCGTGGCATCTCTCGTGGGCGCCTTCGGCTCCTCCTTCCTCTACGGGTACAACCTGTCGGTGGTGAACGCCCCCGCTCAGGTGAGTGCCCCGCGGCTGCGGGATGCGCCCGGCAGAGGGCGCTGCGGCCACGTGGAAATCTTCGGCGGCTAGCGCCTGGCCGGGATGGTACCCGATTCTGCAAAGCTTTGCAGGCCTGTTCTGTACCAGACCTTTGCCAGCGGGTCTAGGAGAGGGATAGAGAGAGTGAGACCAGCCCCTGCCGTCGAGGGGGGGGAGAGGAGAGACACAGAAACAATGTCACAACGCGGGGCGTTCAGTTCTTGCTGGAGTGTCCTGGGAGAGCGCAGGGCAAGGAGAGGGGTCTTCAGACATCTCAGGGGCTTATTCCTTTGCATGGAACCCGAGGAGGCACAGAGAGACCTTATGCATAGACATTTTCCTGATGTTCTTTTTGTGTTTATGGCTTTTAATCACAGCTAGAGGTCACTTGGGTATCTGTTGGTTAAGATCCACCATTGGCCTTTGTTTTCATCTGGAATCAAGACAGTAGGTATGTCAATCAAGAAGAGGCTGTAAAGCAACCGAAAGCGTTTATTTGGGGTCTTAGGATTTGCGATGTGGGAGGCACAGAGAGGACCGAGATTGAGATCGTGCTCGGGTTTGCAACGGGGAGTGCAGGCTTATGAAGGCAAAACCCACAGGGTTGGGTAACTTGTTTTGAAGGAATCGTGATTGGTGCTGACAACGCTTAGCGGACCACCTGATGCAGGATTGGCTCCGTAGCTAACGGGTGTTACATTATCTCTATTTCAGTTCCCAGTAGAGGAGGTCTTCCAAGAGGCCATCAATGTGCATTTGGCAAGTCATAATGGACAAAAGTCAAGAGTTCATGGTGTTCCCAGAATTGAAACAGAAGCCCATAGGTCTGCTTCCTCGGTATCCTCCCCACCCCATTTTGAGTGACTCTCTTAGCAATACTTACTTCCCTTTTGGAATTTCCTTTTACAGGTGCAGTTCCCCAGGCCGCCCTCACACCTCCCTGCTAGTTTGCAGGTTTGGTTTGGTTCTGCCGACCTAGACTATTAGGTCTGTGTGCCACCCACTCCTGGGGGTGCTGGCTTCTGCTTCACCTACCTCCACCCTTGGACGTAGGGTGGATGAAGGGTGTGAGGAAAGGCTTCCTGGAGGAGGTGATGCCTCAGCTTTGTTTTAAAGGTAGAGCAAAGGCACAGAGGCTTGAGATCTGTGAAATGTTTGCAGGAATGCATGTGTGATGCGGTTGGAGCACAGAATGCCTTTTAGGGAGCCTAGGGTAGGAGCTAAAGGGGCAGGCAGAAGCCAGCCTCCTGGAGGCTTTTGGGGCTCTTCCTTGTTTGGGGCCCAGAATCCCCATGTGCAAAATGCAAGGGAGGCTGGACCATTGGGTCTTAAAGTGTTCCCAGGAGTCCTGGACTTTGCAGAGGTGCCTTTTTAAAATTCAGATGTCCTTCAACAGTCCCACAATGTCTTTTATAGCTGGTTTGTCCAAATCAGGACCCCCCAAAAATCAGTGCCTATATATGCAACAGAAATACAGAAAAATAATTACAACCCTGAAATCTAGATGTAGATGTTCATTATTCTGTTCCCTTACTTTTCTAAGCAATCTTACATTTCTATGCATTTTCTATGCATTTTATAACATAATGTCCAAACTAATTACATCATTACATTTTGCCAATGTGTCTGTATACGCGAAAGGAAAGAGAAGTTTCCAAATCATGCTACTGAGCCCTGTCCTGTTCAGCATTGTCACCAGCTATTTGGACAATAATATAGGAGGGGCGTCTATCGTATTTCTCAGTTGATGAGCCGGAAGGAATAATGACTGTGTTAGGAAATGAAACGTGTTAGAATCAGGTGCCAGGACAGTTCTGGTTTTTTTTTTTTTTTTTTACTCTATTAACTCTTGTATATTTGGAGGGTTCTATGTAAGTTCATTTGAAAACTGGATTCTGATGCTAAGACCAATTTGAAAGCCAGGGGCTGAGATGGCCTCCCCGAACTCCTGCAGTGGCTTTGACTTTGTCATTGTGACATCATCCTGACATGGGGATCTGAGTTGTCCATACTTGTCTTTAAAAGAAGATTGGAAGCTGACACTCTTGCTTTATCTTGACGGTTCAGCAGAAACTCCAGTAGAGGGTAGAGAACCTTCGCACTCATGGTTTTTAGAGCAAAAGGCCCTGTGAAACTTGAACCTTGAATCCAATGATGTACGAGGAAAAATATAAGTTCATGCCACAACTGTGGGAGCAGGAAGAAGGAGGAATTCTGTCGTTTATCCATTTAAATCTTTTTTTAATTAATAAACTTTATTTCTTAGAGCAGTTTTAAGGCAGTTCACAGTAAAACTGAGCGGAAAGTACAGAGAATCCCCCCGTATCCCTGTCCCTCCGGTGCACCACTTCCCCCCACTATCAACCTCCTGCACCACAGAGGTACATTTGTTGTCATCAGTGAACCTGCCTCAATTCATCATCTTCACCCAAAGTCCAAGGGTTACACTTACGGTTCACCCTTGGTGTTGTGTATTGTAGGAGTTTTGACAAATGTAGAATGACAGGTACCCACCATTGTGGTATCTTACAAAACAGTGTCATTGCCCCAGAAATCCAGATTTCTTCCCTATTCCTTTTTCCCTCCCTACTAACCCCTGGCAACCACTGATCTTTTTACGGTCTTCATAGTTTTGCTTTTCCAGAATGTCATACAGTCGGAATCATACAGTATGTGACCTTTTCAGACTGGCTTCTTTCACTCAGTTTATGTACTTAAGCTTCCTTCCTCCATGTCTGTACTTGGCTCAAAACCTCATTTGTTTTTTTAACGCTGAATAATATTCCATTGTCTGGGTGGACCTGTGTCTTGAGCCGCTCATCTGCGGAAGGACTTCTTGATTGTGTCTAAGTTTTGACAACTATGAGTCAAGTTGCTATAAACATCCATGTGCAGGTTTTTGTGTAGACAGAAGTTTTCAGTTCACTTGGGTAAATACCAAGAAGCATGATTGCTGAATCATATGTAAAGAGTATGTTTAGTTTTGTAAGAAACTGACAAACCATCTTCCTAAGTGACCACACTGTTTTGCATTCCCAGGAGCAATGAATGAAGGTTCCCATTGCTCCCCATTCTCACCGGCATTTGGTGTCCTTAGTGCTTTGGATTTGGGACATTCTAACAGGCATGTCCTGGTATCTCTTTGTTTTAACTGTAATTCCCTAATGACATATGACATTGAATACTTTTTCTTATGTTTTTTGAGAAGTAGGAATATCTTTTCATGTGCTTATTTGCTATCTGTATATCTTCTTTGGTGAGGTGTCTGTTCAGATCTTTTGCCCATTCTTTAATTGGATTACTTGTGTCATTTTGGTTGAGTTTTAAGAGTTCATTGCATATTTTGGGCAACAGTTCTTTATCAGATGCATCTTTTGCAAATATTTTCTCCCAGGCTGTGTCTTGTCCTCTCATTCTCATGACACCGTCTTTCCCAGGGCAGAGGTTTTTAATTTTATTGAAGTCCAGCTCATCAGTGATTTCTTTCATGGATTGTGCCTTTGGTGTTGTCTCTAGAAAGTCACCACCATGCCCAAGGTCATCTAGATTTTCTTCTATGTTGTTTTTTAGGAGTTTTATAGTTTTGTGTTTTACATTTAGGTCTGTGCCCCATTTCGAGTTAATTTTTGTGAAAGGTATAAAGTCTGTGTCTGGATTCTTTGTGTGTGTGTGTGTGTATCTATTGTTCCAGCACCATTTGTTGAAAAGACCCTCTTTGCTCTATTGTATTGCCCTTGTTCTTTAGCAAAGATCAGTTCACTATATTAATGTGGGTCTATTTCTGGACTCCCTGTTCTTTTCTATTGACCTACTTGTCTGTTCTTTCACCAATACCATGCTGTCTTGATTACTGTAGCTTTATCAAAAGTCAAAGTAGGATGGCGCCAGTCCTCCATCTTTGTTCTCCTTCAATGTTGAGTTGGCTATTCTGGGTCTTTGGCTTCTCCATGTAAATTGTAGAATCAGTTTGTTGATATCCACATAACTCATTAGCTTTATACCTAAGTGTTTCATTTTCTTTAGTGCTAATGTAAATGGTAATATTTTTTATTTAAAATTCCATTCTTTCATTGCTGTAATATAGGGAAGCGATTGACTTTTATATACATCTTGTTATCTTGTAACTGTGCTACAATCAGTCGCTTCTTAGTTCCAGGAATTTTTTTGGTCAATTCTATCAAACTTTGCATAGATGACTATGTCTTCTATGAACAAAGACAGCTTTATTTCTTCTTTCTCAATATGTATATCTTTATCTTTTGTTTCCTCTTATTGTCTCATTGCATTAGCTAGGACTTCCAGGATAATGCTTATTTGAATTTAATTTGCTCTTCTTTTTCTAGTCTCCTAAGATGGAAACTTACTGATTTTAAGTCTTTCATCTTTTCTAATATATTCATTCAATGCTATACATTTCCTTCTAAGCACTACTTTTGCTGCATCCCACAAATCTTGATGACTAATATTTTCATTTTCTTTTAAATTGCTTTATTTTAAAATTTCTCTCGAGATTTCTTCTTTGATCCATGTGTTATTAAGAGGGGTGTTGTTTTAATCTTCAAGTATTTTAGGATTTTCCAGCTATATTCTGTTACTGATTTCTAGTTTAATTCCATTATGGTATGAGACCACGCAGTGTATGATTTATATTCTCTTAAATTTGATAAAGTTTGTTTTATGGCCCAGAATGTGGTCTATCTTACTGAATGTCCATGTGAGCCTGAGAAGAATGTATATCCTACTGCTGTTGGATGAGGTAGACTATAGATGTCCATTGTATCCAGTTGGATGATGGTTGAATTGTTGAGTTCAGTTATGTCCTCACTGATTTTCCGCCTGCCGGATCTGTCCATTTCTGGCAGAGGGGTGTTTCAGTTTCTGACTATAATAGTGATTCATCTATTTTTCCTTACAATTTTATTAGCTTTTGCTTTATGTATTTTCATGCTCTGTTGTTAGGCACATACACATTTTTTTAA